GCCTCTATCCCACATTTTATTGGAGGTACTAGCCAGGGCAATTAATTAGGCAAGCAAAAGAAATAAAAGATATCCATATTGGAAAGGAGAAGCAAAACTACCTGTATTTGCAGATGACATGATCTTACACATGGACAATCCTAAAGAATCCACTAAAATACTATTTGAATTAAAAAACAAATTCAATAGGTTGCAGGATACAAGATCAATATACCAAAAAAGTGTTTTTCAGTATACTTCAATAAATATTCCAAAAATGAAATTAAGAAAGCAATTGCATTTATAATAGATGCAGCAAAAAGAAGCTTCAAAGAGTAAAATACTTAGAAATAAATTTAACAAAAGTCTAAAACTTGTACTCTGAAAAGTATGAAAAATGTTGAAAGAAATTAAAGACAACCTAAATAAATGGAAAAATAGCCCATGTACATGGATCAGAAGACTTAATATTGTTAAAATGACAATATTCTCCAAATTGATCTACACATTCAACACAATCCCTATTATAATTTAGCTGGCTTCTTTGCAGAAATTGACAAGCTAATCCTAAAATTCATGTGGAAATCAAAGGGACCCAGAAGAGTAAAAAAAAAAAAAAAAAAAAGGTCTTGAAAAAATAGAAAAAAATTGGAGGATTCACACTTCTGATTACAAAACTTTCTCTCAAGCTACAGTAACCAAAACAGTATGGTATTAGCATATGGACAGACACATGGACCAGTGAAATAAAACTGAAAGTCCAGAAATAAACACTCAAATCTATATAGTCAATTGATTTTCCACAAGGATGACAAGACAATACAATGGAGAAAGAATCCTGTTTTCAACAAACGGTGCTGGAACACCTGGATATGCACATGCAAAGGAATGAAGTTAGACTCCTTCTTTGCACCAGAGACGAAAACTAAATGAAGGGAATCATACACCTAAATGTAAGAACTAAAATTATAAAACTCTTAGAAGGAAACATAAGAATAAATCTTTGTGACCTTGGGTTACACAATGGATTCTTAGATATGACACCAAAAGCATGATCAAAAAGAAAAAAATTGATAATTGGACAAGATCAAAATTAAAAGACATAATTAGTAACATTAAAAGACAATCCACAGAATAGGACAAATTGTTGCAAATCATAGACATGTATCCAGAATATATAAAGCATTCTTACATCTCAATTAAAAAATGGTCAAAGAATATGAAGAGACATTTCAATAAGCTCAACATCATTAGCATTAGAGAAATGCAAATCCAAACCACGAGATAGCATTTCTCACTCACTAGGATATATTTTTAAAAAGGCAGATAATGACACACATTAGAGGCGATGTGGAGAAATAGGAATCTTTGTACATTGCCAATGGGAATGTAAAATTATGCAGCCACTTTGAAAAGGAACAGTTTGGAAATTCCTCAAAATGTTAAGACAATAGTTACCATATGCGCCAGCAATGCTACTCCTAGGGATATATTAAAGAGAATTCAAAAAATAAATCCATATGTGTCTGTTG